CTGCAACTTATATCCATGTTGAAGAGTTCTGCCCATGTCTTGTACTGTTCCTTTTCTGCCTTCAGAGCTTTCTGCCTGTCAATCACTGCCCACATTCCAAATGTAATCTATGCCTCTTTTCTTCCACCTTCTTTGGTGGCCTACTAGCTCCTCTGCTGTCTTGACTACCGTCCTCTTCCAGTTTGATCATGTGTCTTTCATCAGCCTGGTCCTGTAAAATACTGGAATGGTTGCAAAGTGATCTGCATTTCTTTGTCCTTGAACTTCTCTATTGCTATTATACTTTTTGTCCATCTTTGTGATTTTTTTTTTAGTTTAAATCTTCATGTGGCCACTAAAAGATAATGATCTGAGCCAACATTTGGTCCTCTGCTAATTCTGATATCCCTCAAAGAAGATGCCCATCTTTTAGACATACACATATTCTAGTTAATAGTCACCTTGTCAGGTGAACTTCATGTGAACTTGTGAATAGTCTTGTGCTAGATGAGACTACCTCCTAAAGCGGTTTCAAACAGACATTCAAGACCTATTTGCCATTGTCACTTTGAATGCCTTCTGCTGCACCCATGATTTATTCCCAGCCAGTAGACTTCTTACTGAGTTGTGCACTGAAATCACTTATCAACTTGATGTCATGTTTTGGCACATCAGCCAGTACTTGCGGCATCTGCTTGTAGAATGTATCCTTTTCACTGTTGACAGATGAGTTTGTTGGCGCATAAAGTTGGATTATTGTATGCTTGATGAGTCTTGTTTGCAGCCTGGCTGCTGTTCTTCAGTCAATTATCCCAAGCCATCAGGGTCTTCTGTATGATGTTATCCAGCATAAGCTGCTTTCATCTGTTTTTCCTCCTCAGTACAAGACTATAGCACCATCTTGCCACTCTCTGCCCATTTAATCTCACTGACACCAAGTATGTTCAGATAGTAATTTTTCATTTCTCATGTATCTGTGCCAGCTTTCCCGTAATATACAAAGTATGCTATTCTTACTACAGATTTGGTCATCAGGCTTTGATGTCTTGAGATCTCAGCTTCCTTTCAGCTTTCACTGAGATCTGTCATAGTTGGGTTTTGAATTCCATTTGCACTTACCATCCCCAATGTTCGGTTTAACTGTTGCTGTAGCAGTAAGATTTTACCTGAATGGGTTGTAAACACAACTGCAGAACCCTTCTTTTATCTTGCTTGAGACTGGCACCATTGCAAAACCCATTTGACTAAATCAAAATTTTCATTTTACCAAATAGGTGTTTTGATCTTGCAACATTCTATTACCTATGCATGCAAGTGGTAGAATCTAGGAGTAGCATATACAGTTGTAAGTGATGGGAAACAGTACATGGAGATGTGTATTTGAAAACTTGTGTATGCATAAATAGAGGTCAGGTTCAGGTCTCACTGAAAATTAAGGCCTAGCATTAGAATTTTCAATGAGGTTTAAGGATTTGAGGCCTCATTTTTAGTGAGAGATTAGCACCTAACTCCCTCTAAATTAATAAGGAAGTGTTTAGGGACAAGTCTTCTAAAGAATGTGTCTTCCTTCTGTACATTTTGTTTTGGTATGTTTTCCCCACAGAATGCCACTCCCATGGAAATGTAGGGCCTAGCTTTCAGCAGAGGCCTCAATTTGTATTATTAGTGTCAATGTCTCCGGCAATAGAATCCATTTATTTTAGTCCTGGGTACTGAATCTCTTGTTTTGGAGACATGAGAGAGTCATCAGAACTTCCACACAAAAAATGTAGTCACCACAAAGACTGCCTTATACTTGAACTAATGAAAATATTAAGATCTATATTTATGGCAATAATATGTATTAGCCTAATAAGCATGCAATCAAAATTTTGATTGAGTGAAATGCTACAAAAGTGCTTTTAACTACTTTATTTTCAGACTCTAGGATTCTCTGTTACAGCACCAGCCTACACACTGTCTCATCGTTGCAAAATAATTATCTTGGATCTAACTTGCTGATTAAATGAGCTACTAAAAAGTCTTGACACCAGACATACCTGCAGTCTGTTTCTTCATAACCACTTTGTTCTGCAGCACACTCCATTGGCTGATGCAAATAATAAAATGTGCCCTAGCTCTGATGGATGTGTTTTGTTTAGCATTCTAAGATGAGTTAATTCTATATCCAAAGGCAAATGCAGATGAGCAGACCTGGAAGAGATTAGGAAAGGGGAGAAGGTCATAACAATCCAAAAGTTACAATATCCACCCCCCTTTTTTTTAAAACAAAATGCTATAAAATACTTTACTGTGAGAACCAGAATAGGAAGTGAATGCTGTAGGGAGCTACATATAAGCAGAAAGGGAAATTAGGTGTTTGAAGAAAGAATAAGAACAAGAAGCTGACATTTAAATGCCATAAAGACAAAGTAAAAAAAGAAAAGGAGTGCTAGTGGCACCTTAGAGACTAACCAATTTATTTGAGCATAAGCTTTTGTGAGCTACAGCTCACTTCATCGGATGCGAAAGCTTATGCTCAAACAAATTGGTTAGTCTCTAAGGTGCCACTAGTACTCCTTTTCTTTTTGCGAATACAGACTAACACGGCTGCTACTCTGAAAGACAAAGTAAATATTCTTGTTGACTACAGTAGTTACGTTGAAGGAAGGTGAAAGGAATGGGTAGGTTCTATAACGTTTTAAGTTAAAAGCAAACAGGAAGGTTTCAAGATGAGATCTGAAGAGAGGAATGATCCAGTGCCTTAAAGGGAAGGAGAAAGATCCAGATAGGTGCACAATTGGAAGAACAACCCCAAAGAGGTGGAGAGGGCTGGACATATTGGAGAAATGGAATGACTGGCCCAAATGGTTCAAAGGGGCCATTGTGTCTCTGCACAGGAGGCTTTGGGGACCTCCCCTTATTCTTGGACTTAGATTTGTTCTTGCTGGACTGATGTCCCCTGGTAAGATCATTCAGAGGCTTTACAATTGTAGCATAGTTTTTCACAAACCTGCGGTAGTAGCCACTAAATCCAAGAGAGGCCTTGAGTTCTCTGTAGTTACTTGGACGTGGCCATGTAGTGAGTGCTTCTATTTTATCAGGATCAGTACTCACACCCTCTTGGGACACGATGTGACCCACATACTTCACTGAGGTTCTTCAGAACTGGCATTTGTCAATTGAAAGCTTTAGACCATAATCCTCCAACCTATCAAGCACTTTAAGAAGTCTTTCTTCATGCTCCTCTAAGGTTCTTCCAAACACAATCAGGTCATCCAAATAAACTAACACTTGCAGTAAATTCATGTCTCCCACAACTTTCTCCATGAGAGGTTGAAAGGTGGCAGGTGCTCCAGAAATCCCTTGGGGCATGCGTTCGAACTGATAAAACCCTAATGGGTAGATGAAGGCTGTCTTCTCCTTATCTTCTTCTCCCAGAGGGATCTGGTAGTATCCACTTCGAAGATCCAACACAGAGAGCCACTGGCTTCCCAGCAAACAGTCTAAGGCATCTTGCACTCGAGGCATAGTGTACTGGTCGACCACAGTACGGCTGTTTAGGGTGCGGTAGTCAATACACATCCGGATTTTCCCATTCTTTTTACGGACTACCACAATGGGTGAGGCGTATGTGCTGCGGGACTCTGTAATGATGCCATTCGCAGCCAGCTCCTGAAGATGATGTCGCACATCTTCCATCTCAGAGAGAGCAATCTTCCTAGATCTCTCCCTGAAAGGTTGAGAGTCATGTAGTCTGATATTGTGTTCTACTCCTTTTGCACATCCCACATCCCATTCATGCAGTGAGAACACCTTGGATCTTTCACAAAGTTTCTTCCTCAGGCGATCTTTCCACTCCTCGGACACTGGTGAATCTCCAAAGTCAAACTTTGCTGGGTCTATCGTCGGAACTTGAGTTTCACACTGGGGTTTTACAATTGACTTGGGCTCAAAGAGGTCTGCTATCTTTTGTCCTTGCTTCACAAAAATATCACAACTCGTTTCATTAGCAATCAGTATAGTCACCTCTTTCTGGGCTTCAGCAAGTAGGGTTATGACTTCACTAAGAACCAGCACTCCTTCAGGGAGCCCTCCCTCGGTCAGCTGCTCTACCACTGCTAATGTTCTCTTACTGCCTTTTAGGCAGGTACTCATGACAATCACCTCCTTTTCTGTCATTGCAGGCACCACTAAGGGGACCGGGCCTGCGTACCTCAATGCTCCCACCGGCAAATCAGGCATCACTCTTTTTGCGTCCTCAATTTTTCTGTAGGCTGCGGCACAATGTGTGTGTACCACCAAGGTATTCAGGTATTGGTCCCCTGCTCGCTGTCTGCAGTAATCTGCAAGTACCTTAAAGAGGCTGGAGTTGGTCCCTATTAGTACGGACACATCAGAGACACCTTTAGGGTCAGGGCATATTAAAGCTGCAGTGTCCACCTCCTCTCTTCCCGCAGCGATCTCTTCTGGGAATTCCAGGTGTACAATGACATACCCCCGATACGGGTATTCATCCATGCTGAGATCACACAGGCCAAGTCCTGTCAAGGGCTGTATAGGCAGATACGTAAGCATCTGCTGGTAGAAAGACTGGAATATGATAGTCACTTGGGATCCCGTGTCAAGCACTGCTCTACATTCTGTCCCTTCAACCTTTACAGTGACCTCTGCTTGAGGTCCTATCAATCCTGGTGGGATTCGGGTGGCATGGTTCTTCGCAGGGGAGCCTCCAAACCCTGCAGGCCTAGGCGGCTCCCTTCCCAGGCCCTGGGGCCGTTTTCCGATTTTCCCCAGGTGGTCCTCAGCTTTTGGTATACTAGCGGGGGATTCTCTGCATTCTGACACCTGGCAGCAATGTGCCCATCCTGGCCACACCGGTAGCAGAAGGAGGATTGCCCTTTCCCGTGTTGCTGGGGTGGGGCAGAGGTTCTAAATGTAGTCTTCTGGACTGTGGTAACGGGGGGCTCCTTGTACCCTGAAGTCTTTGCTGAATCGATGGTATTCTTTAGTTCAGCCACTTTCTGTGTCAGGACCTGCACTCATTGGGTAAGTTCCTCTTGAGGATTCACCATCAGCACCTTGGGCGTTCGTATGGATGTTATGGCAGTTGCCTGGTGTGGCTGAACCTCCCAAACCTCACTAGCTGCCTGCCTCTCTTCCTCCTCTCGGACCTCTTTTATCAGTCGAGAGTAACCCGGTGGATTGTCTTGGCACTCCCTTAATCGAATGTGGAGAAGGATTGGGTTCTGATATTGAATTTCCCTCACAATCTGAGCCAATTTAGTCCGGTCCATTTGTTCAACTGCTACTGCTCCCCTCATGATGGCTTTCTGTAATAATTTCTCCAACCTCTGTATATAGGCAGAAACTTTCTCTCCCTTTTGTTGCCTGGCATTGAGGAACTTGCAATAAACATCCTCTGAGCCCTCGGTTCTCCCAAAGGCATGATCAAGGGCCTCTAGGCAGTCCTTTACCTTGACCCCAGGGTTACTGAGCTTCAGGGTGCGAATCACATCTAGGGCTGGCCCCCTGAGGCACTCTACTAGTCGCCTTCTCTTTTCAGCTTCAGGTACTGCCCACTCCTGCAGCATTTCAGTGGTGTGTTCCAGCCAGGGTTCAAATGCTTCCTCCCCAGTTATTGGGGTGGGACCCCCAGAAAACAACGTCAGTTTATGATAGGGGCTTGACTCAGGTTGGGGTGGCACAACCTTCTCTAATACTTGCCCCAAAGCCTTCACCCACTCATCAGGTGATGGAGCAGCCTCCTGGGGTGGGACTTCTGGGTCAAGGCCCAACAGACCCGGCATATCAGCCAAGGTCTTCCCCTCTTTCCCCAAAAAGGCCGACATTTTCTTTAAAAACTCCACTTCAGAGGCAGGGGCTGGTGAGGGCTGGCTCCCAGTAGTTATTACCTTCCACTCACCATCTTCCACTGCTATCGTGCCTGGAACCTGTAGAGGGTCCACAGCCGACGACAGCTCACACGGTACAGCAAAATCTCCATCCTCCCTTACAAACATGCTCCCATGCATTTTACACTTACTCAGGTACTCAGTGGATGCCCTTAAGGCAGGCTCTATTGAGCCTTCATCGAACGCCTCCGGCACCCCGGTCACCAGGACACAGTTCCTAGGGTTAATATTCATCCCCCTGCACCAATCCTCTAGCAAGTGTAGGGCCATTATACAAACTGTAATTTCTTTCCCAAATATAACAGATCAAAACAACAACAACCAGATTTTGGGTTTTCCCAATTTAATGACTCACCTAAGATGTGCTTGCGAGGGGTACTGACCCAGTCTTATCCCGGACGAGCCCCCAAAAATGTAACCCTTCTGCCAGGCCAAGTTGATAGCAGTAAGGGCCGGGTTCAGTACACAGGGGTTCCCTCTCATCAAAGCAAATGCAAAACTGGCTTGAGCCCCCACCCAGTGACCTGGGAAAATCTTACACACCCCCTGGGCACCTCAAAGAGGCAATACTTCCCCTCTCGCAAGCACAGAGTCTCGGTGTAGCAGAGAATCTTTAATAACATGAGGTAAACAACATCAGCATTAAATTGGGGAAACACCAGAACTAGTGTTCATTAACCAAACCATGAGCAAAGACCCACCCCAGCAAAGTGGGCCACATCCTTTCCCTCGGGTTCTTGAGTCCCAGAACCCAAACATCTCTTGAGTCCAGCAATCCACAAATCACCCAAAGTCCAAAAAGTCCAGCCCAGAGTTCAAAAGTTCATCTGCATAGTGTTACTCCCCAGTCTGGCTAAAATGTGCCTGTGTGTGGGGAAAGAGGTAAGGGGCACCTTACGTGTCCTGAAGCTGACTGCCCCACAGGGCTCCGCTCTGCCGTCTCACGAATGGCTCCTCTCTGCACAGCTTGCTATCTCACGAACAGCTCTGCTCTGCACAGCTCGCCTCGCTGTCTCACAAACACTCCGCCAGCCTATCCACAAATAGCACCACTGCACGCTAGACCTTCCGGCTCCCCACTACTTGACACAGCTCTCAGTGATTTCAGCTCATAGTAGTGGGAGCCTTAGTGCTGGTGCACCATAAGGCCAAAGTGAATTCAGCACAGTACCTGTAGCAAGACTCTTAATAGACCCAAAATTAGCTCTGACATTTCACAGTAGAGAGAGACAGAGGTGCAATTGGTGTTTCAGGCCCTCACAAAGGGGCTCGCACCACCAAGTACTAATACCTGTCTCAAGTCTCTCTCAATTCACAGAGTTTTGGAACGCATGTCTCTTGCCTAGCGAGTGCTACTTAGTTGATGGTGAGTCCCTCCATCATAACAAAAGGCCAAGTACAGTTCCAAGCACAGTTCCCATAATCAGGGTAATAACAATTTATTCTTCCCGCCCCAATAACAGAGACAATGGGGATCCCTCAACAGCCAAAGTGACCATTTGGGCAGTTATGGCCTCATTCTAGGCGGGGTGGGTGTGCCTATGCAAATGAGATCGGCCCCTGAAGTTCTTTTCCACAACTTGCCACACCTCACCACCAGATGTCAGGGTGGAGCTCATCCTGACCCTGCTTACACTAGAAAGGAGAGATATAGAACTGCTCTTTAGGGATTTTGGTCAGGAATTCTGAAAGCACACAGGAGCAGCACATACTCCCCGTTTGTGGACCAATGAAGAGAGGGCAATGGCCATCTCTCCTCCCCACCTGAATCTCCCCTTTATGCTGCCCGTTGCTAGGAGCAGCCCCTGTGCTTTTAATGAAAGCCACATAAAGTGAACTCTTGCACCTTTTTTTGTGCAGGCCAGGCAGAATCTGGCTCTAGTTAAGTATCTGTGACTTAGAATACATATAAGGAGCAAGTCTACAGATTAAGAGGTTGCTATTTTTACACATTCATTCTTCAGAATAAACCTGCAATTTAACTAGTTCTGTTTCAGTTTCTGATTTCTCTTACGCTATGTCTACACTACGGAATTAGGTTGAATTCATAGAAGTCGGTTTTGTAGAAAGCGTTTTTATAAAGTCCATTGTGTGTGTCCCCACACAAATGCTCTAAGTGCATTTAGTCGGTGGAGTGCGTCCACAGGACAGAGGCAACCATCGACTTCCGGAGCGTTACACTGTGGGTAGCTGTTCCCATTTGAATTCTGGGTAGAAATCCCAATGCTTGATGGGGCAAAAACATTGTTACGGGTGGTTCTGGGTACATATCATCAGGCCCCCCCTTCCCTCCCTCCCTCCGTGAAAGCAACAGCAGACAATCATTTCACGTCTTTTTTCCTGGGTTACCCGTGCAGATACCAGACCACGGCAAGCATGGAGCCCGCTCAGCTCAATGTCACCGTATGTCTCCTGGGAGCAGACAGTGCAGCATGACTGGTAGCCATTGTCATCGTACTCCAGGGTGCTCTTAGGTCTTCTAGCCGACCTCAGTGAGGTTGGTCAGGGGCGCCTGGGTAAACATGGGAGTGACTCAGCCAGGTCATTTCCCTTTTAAGTTTCGTCTCATGGCGATTCAGTCCTGCCAGGAGTCCTACTGCACCGTCTTCTGCCGAGCACCCAGGAGATGACGATGGCCAGCAGTCGTACTGCACCGTCTGCTGCCAGCAAGATGTATAAAAATAGATAAAGTGGATCAAAACAAGAAATAGACCAGATTTGTTTTGTATTCATTTTCTCCTCCCTCCCTCCGTGAAATCAATGGCCTGCCAAACCCAGGGTTTTGAGTTCTATCCTTGAGGGAGCCATTCTGTTTCTCCTTGATGCAAAGCCACCCCCTTTGTTGATTTTAATTCCCTGTAAGCCAACCCTGTAAGCCATGTTGTCAGTCGCCCCTCTCTCCGTCAGAACAATGGCAGACAATCGTTTTGCGCCTTTTTTCAGTGCAGACACCATAGCACTGGGAACATGGAGCCCGCTCAGATCACTGCAGCAATTATGAATGCTATAAACACCATGCACATTATCCAGCAGGATATGCAGAACCATAGCCTGCAAGAAAAGTGAAACCAGGTGAGGAGGAGGCGACTGCAGCACAGTGACGAGAGTGATGAGGACATGGACATAGTCTTCTCACAAAGTACGGGCCCCTGCAGTGTGCACATCATGGTATCAATTGGGCAGGTTCATGGCGTGGAACGCTGATTCTGGGCTTGGAAAACAAGCACAGAGTGGTGGGACCGCATAGTGTTGCGGGTCTGGGACGATTCCCAGTGGCTGCAAACCTTTCACATGAGTAAGGGCACTTTCATGGAACTTTGTGACTTGTTTTCCCCTGCCCTGAAGTGCAAGAATACCAAGATGAGAGCAGCCCTCACAGTTGAGAAGTGGGCGATAGCCCTGTGGAAGCTTGCAACGCCAGACGGCTACTGGTCAGTCGGGAATCAATTTGGAGTGGGCAAATCTACTGTGGGGGCTGCTGTGATGCAAGTAGCCAACGCTATCACTGAGCTGCTGATATCAAGGGTAGTGACTCTGGGAAATGTGCAGGTCATAGTGGATGGCTTTGCTGCAATGGGATAACCTAACTGTGGTGGGGCGATAGACGGAACCCATATCCCTATTGTGGCACTGGAGCACCAAGGCAGCGAGTACATAAACCGAAAGGGGTACTTTTCAATGGTGCTGCAAGCACTGGTGGATCGCAAGGGACGTTTCACCAACATCAACGTGGGATGGCCAGGAAAGTTACATGACGCTCGCATCTTCAAGAACTCTGGTCTGTTTCAACAGCTGCAGCAAGGGACTTACTTTCCAGACCAGAAAATAACCATTGGGGATGTTGAAATGCCTATAGTTATCCTTGGAGACCCAGCCTACCCCTTAATGCCATGGCTCATGAAGCCGTACACAGGCAGCCTGGACAGGAGCTGTTCAACTATAGGCTGAGCAAGTGCAGAATGGTGGTAGAATGTGCCTCTGGACGTTTAAAAGCCCGCTGGCGCTGTTTGCTGACTAGGTTAGACCTCAGCACAACCAACATTCCCATTGTTATTGATGCTTGCTGTGTGCTCCATAATATCCGTGACAGTAAGGGGGAGACGTTTATGGCAGGGTGGGAGGTTGAGGCAAATCACCTGGAGGCCAATTTTGAACAGCCAGATACCAGGACGATTAGAAGAGCACAGCTAGGCATGCTGCACATCAGAGAGGCTTTGAAAACCAGTTCCATGACTGGCTAGGCTACAGTGTGACAGCTGTGTGTGTTTCTCCTTGATGCAAAACCACCCCCTTTGTTGAATTTACTTCCCTGTAAGACAACCCCCTCCCCACTTTGATCACAGCTGGCAAAGGAAATAAAGTCCCTATTGTTTTGAATCCATGGATTCTTTATTTATGTAAAAAAAAGAGAGAGAGAGATCACTGACAAGGTAGCCCAGGTGGGGTGGGGGAGGAGGGAAGGACAAGGCCACATGGCTTATTGTAGCCACGCTACAAATCAAGCTGTTTGAATGACAGCCTTCTGTTGCTTGGACCATCCTGTAAAGTGGAGTGGCCGGGTGCCCGGAGCCGCCTCCTCCCCCACATTCTTGGGTGTCTGGGTGAGGAGGATATGGAACTTGGCGAGGAAGGCAGGTGGTTATACAATGGATGCAGCAGTGGTCTGTGCTCTTGTTGCCTTTCCTGCAGCTCCACCAGATGCCTGATCATATCCGTTTGCTTCCCCATTAGCCTCAGCATCTCCTCCTGTGTGTTCTGATCACGCTCACTGTATGTTTTCCTGGCCTCTGCCACCAAATGCCTCCATGCATTAAGCTGTGCCCTATCAGTGCGGGAGGACTGCATGAGCTCAGAAAACATATCATGGGAAGTGCATTTTTTTTCCACCTCCTAATCTGTGATAACTTCAGGGACGGAGTTGATACGGGGAGCATAGAAACATTTGCACATGCAGGGGAGATAAAAAGGGCTGTGTGTCCCTGATGTAGCCTCTCTCCACCATGCCCTGTGCAATTTTGGCATATATATTAGCAATTCTTCTTTTTGATCAAAGTTCTGCCTGCACAGATTCTTCTCCCCATACAGCATTCAAATCCAGTGTCTCCCGTTCGCTCCATGCCGGAGCTCGTTTGCGATTCTGAGACTGCATGGTCACCTGTGCTGCTGAGTTTGCCACGCTGACCAAACAGGAAATGAAATTCAAAGGTTCCTGGGGCTTTTCCTGTGTACCTGGC